GACAGACAGACAGACAGACCCGAACCTAACTAACTACCCCGCCCCCCAAAACGACAACGAGGATCAAGTGTAGTATCTGTTCCGATCAGAGAGAGAGAGAGAGAGAGAGAGAGAGACCCTAAACTAACCAACTACCCCGCCCCCTAAAACGACGACGACGATGACGATCAAGTGAGGTATCTGTTCCGATCACTTTGAAAAACGGCGCGCGCACGTGCGCGCCCACCAGAGAGAGAGAGAGAGAGAGAGAGAGAGAGAGAGATAGACCCCAAACTAACTAACTACCCCGCCCCCCAAAACAATGACGACGATGAGGATCAAGTGTAGTATCTGTTCCGATCACTTTGATATCTGACCTGTGGACCATTGGGAGATTTTTTATATTAAAAAAACCGGAAAAACCGCGAACGATACACACACACACACACACACACACACACACACACACACAGAGAGAGAGAGAGAGCGAGAGAGAGAGAGAGACCCCAACCTAACTAACTACCGACGACGACGACGATCAGTTGTAGTATCTGTTCCGATCAGTTTGATATCTGACCCGTGGACCATCGGGAGTTCTTTCAAAAAAAAAAAACTTGCGGAAAAACGGTGCGCGGAAGTGCGCGCGCACCACAGAGAGAGAGAGAGAGAGAGAGAGAGAGAGAGAGAGAGAGAGAGAGAGAGAGAGAGACCCCAAACTAAGTAACTACCCCGCCCCCCAAAACGACGACGACGATGACGATCAAGTGTAGTATCTTCCGATCGGTATGATATCTGACCTGTAAACCAAATTAATAAGAAATTAAATTCATTTATTGAATATAGGGTAGCCTACTATTCATTCATTCCGCCGATTAGGCGAGGCTACGGTGCCTTTCTTTCTTTTTCTTTTCTTTTTTTGTTTGTTTCTTTTCTCTAATCTAAGGCGCCTCTTTTTTAGGCGCCAAAAGAGGCGCCTTTCTTAAGCGGAAATGGGGCACTTGTTTTGGTTTGGGTAGATTTCTATAGTGCCACGGATTCGCAAAGTAATAACAAGAATAGCGAGCCCAATAGCAGATTCTGCAGCAGCTACAGTTAATACGAATAAAGCAAATAATTGACCCATCATGTCATCTAGATAAACAGAAAAGACTAAAACGTTCAAATTGACAGCAAGTAACATTAACTCAATTGACATTAACATAATAAGGATATTCTTTCTATTTAAAAAGATTCCCAAATACCTAAAAGAATTTGGGAGATCTTAAAAAAAAAAAAAAAAAATGGAAAAACAGCACGTGCGCAGCAGAGCAACACACACAAAGAGAGAGAGAGAGAGAGAGAGAGAGAGACCCCAAACTAACTACCCCGTCCCCCAAAATGACGACGACGATGACGATCAAGTGTCTGCCACTCTCCGCTCCTCTGCTGCACGACGGCGACGATGACGATCGACGATGACGATCAAGTCTAGTATCTGCTCCGATCAGTTTGAAAAACGGCGCACGCACGTGCGCGTGCACCACAGAGAGAGAGAGAGAGACACACCCCAAACTAACTTACTATCCCGCCCCCCAAAACGATGACGATGAAGTGTAGTATCTGTTCCGATCAGTTTGATATCTGATCCGTGGACCATCGGGAGATCTTTATTATATAAAAAAAAAAAAAAAAAACGGAAAAACAGTGCGCAGCAGAGAGAGAGAGAGAGAGAGAGAGAGAGAGAGAGCCCAAACTAACTACCCGGCTCATCCCCCACGACTTCTCTGCTCCTGCCGCCCTCCTCCGCCCTCTTCCCCTGCTTCTTCACTCTCCCCGCTCCTCCGCCACACCTCCACAGCTCGGGGAAAAAAGGACGTGCCTCCCCTCTGGTCTTTCTCTATGTGCCTGGCGCCAAGCTTGCCCAGGAAGGTACATGAGGCCAACAGGGATTGAACCCAAGACCTCATGAATGCCACTTGCTTGCCATACCAACCAAGGTACGCCGCTGCATTTCAGTCTAGAGTCAGGGGAAGACAGTAGGGGTAGACGTAGCATGCCGATTTCCAAAGCCAGCTGTTGCAGAACCTCCCCAACTAGCAGGAGGTGCTGCACACACATTGCCATGGCTGTTAGGGCACAGCTCCCCACGGGACCATGAGTCTAAAAACACCCCCCGACCACCACGCCAAAATCCACTGAACCCACCACCCCAACTCATTTCTCACATTTCCCCCTCAATCCCTTGCGAGCGAAGCCGCAACAGGTACCCTTTTTGATATCTAAAATTCTCTAGGCCACAGAGCGGTAGGACCCTCTAGGCTGAGGCAAAATTGGGATGACAAAAAGTGAAGAGGTAGGAGTAGTCCATTCATTTTTCAGTTGGTGATTTTTGTAGGATGAGGAGCAGCTGCAGCAGCGCCTTCCAAGGATCACAGAAAGGATTTTTGTCTGCAAAATGAAAGATGTCACCTAATGCACACCTCAAGTTGTCAGTATTTGATGTTTTGGTGGTCGATGACTTGGAGCTATGCAGTCGAGCTTCTCGATCAAGGTCTGCATGTGCCAAATGTAGTGTTTGTTGGAGTCTTGGAGATGACTGTTTAGGACAGCCCTGAAAATCCTGAAAATCCAGTAAAAGAGCGAATTTTGCATGAAAACACACTTTTGCCTTGGCGTTTAAGGCCCTTTTGAAAGTTTTGATCCATTTTTTTGTACTTTTTTTTTTTTGGCTGTTGGTTTAATAATGGACCGGTGACAAGTCTGGCTTAAAAGGTATGGTATGGGACATTTGTTATAATGACGTTAAAAAAACCCTGAAAATTTAGGGTTCTGTTAACCGCTTCTCAACGTTTATTGAGAGGCAAGCATGCTCAAAGGTACGGATTGGCTGTGTGTCATTGCAGGTGGATGCTACAAAGCATGGTGGGCTTGCACGTTTCATCAATCATTGTTGCGAGGTAAGCAATTCACATATTACCGTCGTGGTCATGTTATGCTTTTCCCAACCATTGGAAGGGGAGGTTTGTGGGGTTGCTCAGCAGATGTGCTCTTTTGTTGGGGCATTGTGTTCTTCCTCCAGACTCATCATCTGGGCTTCAGGAAGGGCAACTAAACAGATTGAAAGCTTTGTGAAGATTCTCTCTCTCCATCACTCCTCGGCCCCTCTCTCCATTAAGAGGGTTTTTGTCCTGGGAGTGCCTGCGATTTCTGGACCATGTCAGGTTAGATGGCCCGAGTTTTTTGGGTTGTGGAGTTGCTAGTCCGCATATGTGCTTTTTTTGGGTTGATGCGGAGGAGCGGTAGTGGTTATAAGTCAGCAAGGTAAGACAGGCAGGCTTTGTTAAACGACTGTTTTGCCCGGGTGCCTAGCGGATGTTGCGGCTGTGCATGTGCCGTAGAAAGTTTCATCCTACCAGACCGAAGAGGGCTTCTTGTGGTGCACGAAGTTTCAAGTGCCCAAAATAAGGCAATTTTCAATTCTCATTTTCGCTGAATAAATCAGAGATGTTGGGTACGTAAGTTCCGCTGTATTCTGAATAGCAGCAGAGGGCACCTAACTACGATGTAGTCATCGTCTCTAAAACACCCTTTTCTCTTTCTGCGTTTGGCTGATTTTGTCTGCAGCCCAATTGTTTAACAAAGATCATTAGTGTTGAGGGGCAAAAGAAGATTGTTATATGTTCAAAACGGGCAATAGCACCAGGCGAGGAGCTCACATATAGGTTCCACTGTATTCTGAATAGCAGCAGAGTGCACCTAACTACGGCATGGTCATCGTCTCTAAAACACCCTTTTTTCTTTCTGCGTTTGGTTGATTTTGTCTGCAGCCCAATTGTTTAACAAAGATCATTAGTGTTGAGGGGCAAAAGAAGATTGTCATCTATTCAAAACGGGCAATAGCACCAGGCGAGGAGCTCACATATGACTACAAATTTCCCATCGAAGAGAACAAAATTCCCTGCTTTTGTGGTGCGGACAGGTAAGAGGTGGTGGATACTCTCTCACACATTACAAGCGTGCTCTCACTTATTGGAAAGTGTTTACAACACTCCACAGCGTTTGCATGAAGTTTTTCAATCCCTCTCTCATGCAGTGGCCAGTGATGTGTGTCTATAACTTGTCATAAGGTAACATGGGCACTTGCTTCTCCCACATTTCTGTCATGTTCATTTGCTTGTTCATTTGCTGTCAAGCGAGTGGGTTCACTGAAAAATGGTGTCTTCTGGTAACCAGGGGTAGTGGTGGTTCAAGACCGGTGGTTGCACAAACACGCCCTCCAAGCGCTCTCCGCACACTCCGTAAGTGTGACAAGTTCTTTTTTTCTACTATTGAATCATCCAAACATGTGTGGAAAGCCTGGTGAGTGTTATCTTAACCTCACCAGAGCTAACCAGCATACGAGGTTGAGAGAAAGAGGGGCAGTCTTTCAATTTTTGTTGGCAAACAGGGAGTCCAATGCAAACAAATGTGGGAAATAGGGGAAATGTTATTCAGCAGTGCTATAATCCGGTCTATTTCATGTTGCAAATTTTAAATTTGAGACAATGCCATACATCACAACTCGAATTGAAGGAGAATGAGTTCAGGAGAGGGACGGCGAAGAGGAAGAAGACAAGCTCAAGTTGGAACAAATGTCATCTCCCCCCTCATCTTGACGCCATCGTCTCCCCCTCTTCCTCACTGGTCTTTAGCTCACACCGTCTCTCTACTTCACTTGGCATGGCTCCTATGTATGGCGGCTATAGAATCAAAACAGTTAGTTATGTCGCCTTCGATGGCCCACGTTTGGTGTTTTTTTATTCCTACATGGAGGCTCGCAAGAGTCAGAGCTGCGGCGGAGCCTCTACCAGGCTGAAAAGCATGACTGCAATCAATAAATTTATCTTCGTAGATCATCTCCAGTATGACCTGCATAGCTTTTTGGACTATTTTGAAGATAAAGCGGCCTCTTACAATGTCGGTGAGCTATCTCAAATGTTTGACGGACAATGCACCTACTCTCATGCCCTTTCCTCTCAATTACCACCATAGCTGCTCTCCAGATGAACTCCATGTTCAGCCGGTACTCTAGCAGGGGCCTTCTTGATGCTGTGCCAACCAGGAAGATGAAGATGGAAGTCGATAGTGCAGGATTTGTCTTCTTGTTCGTTCCCACCTTCTTCCTTAATGACCTCCCATGCCTTCATAGACCGGCTGAAAGGTCTTAACCCTCTTCCTCCATAGCCTATGATTTTTTAATCGTCTGTAGTGCTCAACCATAGCCATGGAGGTCTTCTTTCTCACCCTCAAGCTCCACGTCCTCCTGCAAGTGTCTGCCACGGGGATACTCTATCCCCTCGTTAAACCCCCCCCCCCCCCCCCCTCCCCACCCCCGGGGAAATCCAGTACATCTTGGGTGGCCACTACCTGCCTCCACCCGGCGTCGCTCGGGTGCACTAGGTCTAGTGGGTATTCCTTCGTTTGGCAGGGGCTAGCAGGAGCATGACTGCTTGAGCAGAGTACTTATTACACTGAATAGATGGAGCCTTCAATACCGGGACCTGTTTAAAGGGCATGCTCTTATCACCTCGTTAAACAGCTCCCCCCCCCCCCCCTCCCCCCCTCCTCCCGGGCATCCAGTACATCTTGGGTGGGCACTACCTGCCTCCACCCGGCATCCCTCCGGTGCACTAGGTCTAGTGGGTATTCCTTCTTTTGGCAGGGGCTGAGGGGCGTCATTACAATCGGATATCTACCTGCAGGTTCCGTATCTACCTTTGAAACTGTCTACATTCGGGACCAGGCCATGATGACCTGCTGGAAAGCTACCGAACTCTTCTTGGCCTAGCCAACTTGCTGGAAAATCTCTATCAAGTACTAGCAAATTCTACTTATGTCCCTGGCTGTCTTACCCCAGTATGTCCCTACTGCTAACTTATCATCCTGTCGCTGATCCTATCCCTAGTCCTAACCGCGTATTTGCTGCGGGAGGGTTCGTGGTACGCTGCATGCCAATTCATGGCCGAAGTTTGGGTGAAGGCTCTGGATTTCGGCTGGTCAACGGGCAGGAGGTGGCAGTGAGGGCTTCTATAACTAACTGTCTACAGCGCCCCGGCCAACAAGGGAAGGGAGAGAATGGTGTCTGAGAACGAGGGTTCTAGAACTAACGTGGCATTGATCGGCACAAATATCGTGTGGTTTGCTTTTGGTTTCTGTTTTCCTTTTCAGGCTTTTTTGTTGTTTCTGACGGGCTTGCCTTGCTTTTTCATCACCATTTTGTTGCATTCATTTAGGCTTCTTTTTCTTTCTTTTCTTTTTTAATAACAGGGCCTTATGGTCCTGGCTTCTTTTCTTTCTGGGGAGCAACAGTCCGGTTCCTATTCCACCGGCAAGTCAGAATAGACATTACAATAAGAACCACCTACGCTTCCTTCCGTCTGGCCGAAGGACCTCAGATCAGCATTGATTGCTCCACCTTGGTGGAGGATTGACTGTCAGCTTGCCGTGCCCCACTCTATTCCTCTCAGATCTGATAACCAGATCTGCCAGATAGATCCTTGCCACCTAGAAAGGGCTCACCCATTGTCCAAGCTAGCCTTTGTACCCCCACTTACGCGTCCTGCCCGTGAGCCACAATACCCCCTGTCCCGCCTTACCTTCCCAGGCTTTTATTTTATTTTAAGGATGACTAAAACCCGAAACCCTGAACCCTCATCCGGAAACCGTTGTCCGAACTTCCGCAATTCATTGTTGGGACCTTGCCTTTTCCCTCTGAAGTGAAATGTAGCCGTCTTTCCATTGTAACCTGGCTCCACCACATCCCTTTTTTTTTTTTTTTTTTTTTTTTTTTAACCCTTGTTCGTGAAACCTGACACCTTCTGCCCCTGTTATCCTAGTGCAATCCTATCCGCTTGCAGTCTTTACTTTACTGCTACTTCTCTGGCTTCGGCCCTTACTCCTGCCCCTCTAAGTCTCTAGCCCTTATTCCTGTGTGGTCCTGGCCTCTTAAATTGTTGTCCCTTGTACCCCTGTGGCTTCCGCCCTTGCCCCTTTCCTCCTGACTGTCTTATCCGTCTTCCTGTCTAGCTAAAGCCCTAAACCCTAACCTCTTGAATTGTACCCCCTTGTACCCCTTTACCCCCTTCTCCATTTGAACATTAAATTACTTCCCTGTATGGTTGCCACGACTCCGTGCCCCAGAGTGTTCTGTTTGAAGCGTTTTGTGATCTCTTCCTCCTGCTCTGGCTGCTGACGAATTTGGTTCCTCGCTGCCTTCCTCTGCCCCCTCAGATCCGTTTCGCGCAATGTGAGGAATATCTCCTTTGCCCCCTGCTTGTACATTGACCGTCCTTCAATAATAATTTGGCAACGACGCTTCCAAATGGTCCAGAGACAGTATTGGCGTATCAATTGGAACATGTGCTTCTCGAAGGGCTGCCAATGCTTTGGGACTTGGAGACCCAGCAATAAGGAAATCTTGGAGTCTGGGAAAATGYKCCTTSRCACCTGGYCCCAAATGCTCCTGGCTTCTCCCCAAATAGTRRTTGCCTCAAYGCATTCCATGAGGCAATGCTGCATTGTYTCTKGATTCCCTCTTGACACACTCTACATACCGCGCTCTCCRAATCTCTCTGCCKCAGACTTMTTCGCTCATTTAACCAGACATTCASCGGAWGTGCCACATGAGCTATTAGCCACTGCATACTTCTGACTGAGCCCAGGCGTATCGCTGCGATGTTTGGCCATGGAATTTTGGACAATTGATGCCGGGGGACCCCTACCCTCTTCTCTCATTGCCTCAGCAAGTGTGGCGTAAGAGAGTGAGATCGCCTCCTCAATCTATACCCAATTTGCGTAGTGTAGTGCAGAATGTTGATTCTTCTGGCTGTTCCTGTTTCTCCACTTCTGATGTTCCGTGCCCATTCTCCTGGGTCCACTTCCAATTCTTCAAGTGGTACAGATGGATTGAATAATGGGTATTCATCTGTCTCTACCACCCTTACCTTCCGCAAGTATTGTTTGAGAATGGCGATCGGTGCTTTGGATGTCCTATCCAGTTGAGAAGTAGTGTTGGGAGGATGGAGTATGGGATACTTATCTGCATGCAGCCAATCTGGCCTAGAAACCTCTTGGCTCCAGACCCTAAAGACTTCTTTTGGTTCCTTGTCGTCGCTCCATGTGGCCCAGTCTCCCTGGCCCCACTGTGTACCGTTTTGTAGCAGTTGCACCCATGTTTGCGGTATGGCTCCCAATATTACCTCAAGGTTGTCTGATAATCTGTGGCATCCCTTTAAGCTTACCCTAAGTTCTCTGACTGTTTGCCACCTATTTTCCCTCTCTTCCCAGAGGTGCTTCACCTGCCAAACCCCATGCTCCAGCCACTTTCCCCACTTCGCATTCTTCACTGAGAGCGTCAGCGGCTTCCCCTGTACGTCCTTAATGCTCGAGTTGCAGAATAAAGGCTGTCTAAGTACTCCTCTCGTGCAAGGTTCCTTGACCCTTGCAGGGAAGATATATTTCCACAACTTCAGCAGATGTCCCCAATATGATAGTTTTGTAGCTTCCTCCTCGTCCTCCGCGTTACCCCCTTCTCTTCTGCACACCTTAGTCCAATTGCTACACATTATCCAAAACAGGCCCGACATATTCTGTGGCGTTTTATATTTGGCCATTTGTCTTATCCTGTGCAACACCAGAGAAGTCCATGATAACTTTTGATGGGATATTAGCTTAATTACCCACTTGGTTTGGAGTGCCTTAAACTGAATGTCCGGTTCTAGAATACCCAGACCACCTTGCTGCTTTGGTCTAGTGACATGTTTCCACGCCACTTTGGATATGAAGCGTGAGTTGGTAACTTCGGATGTCCAAAGATATGTCGTCGCTCTTCTTCTCAATAACGTCGCCGTAGTCCTTGGTGGAGTCCATATTGACCCCGCGTACCATAGCATAGAGAAGATGGACGTGTTGAGTATAAGGGCCCTCCCATAAATGGATGTATAGACTGCCAACCAGGCCCCCAACTTAGCTAGAATTTTTGCCATTAGATCTGCCGCCATCGATTGATGCGCCCCGCCTTCAGTAATCGTGATCCCTAAATATCTGATAGGAACTCGTGCTGTTCTCCACTGCAGCCCCTCCGGGCTGTTAACCGGAAGCATGTCTTCTTGCTCCTGGTCTACCAACCACCACCCCTCTGTTTTCTTCCAATTGATCTTCATTTCCGATGCAAGCTGGAAGGCTTCCATAGCCTTCGTTAGTGCCTGAAACGATGAATCCGACGCCCTTATAAGCACCGTCAGGTCGTCCGCAAAAAGGAGGGTTGTAGGGAGATGAATAGTGTGACCCTGCTGATCCAGTACCGCTACCAGCCTTTCGATTGATGGATCCTTGCGCAGGTAGGAAGCCACCGCTTCCATTATGAAAAGAAATATCGGAGCGGCTAGGGGGTCCCCCTGCCTGACCGATCTCGACATCGTGTATGTCGAAGATATATGTCCATTAACCTGCACTTGCCCTTGTGCATCATTGTAGAGAACTCTTATCCATTTCCTGAAGTTCGGGCCTACTCCCATCTTTTCCATTCATTGCTGTAGGAATGGCCAGCTGACCTGATCATATGCCTTTTCAAAGTTGAAGAACAAGATGGCTGCATTAATTCTCATACCCTGAATGTAGCGTACCATTTCCGTTAGTGTCATTACATTATCTAATATTAACCTTCCCGATATAAATCATCTGATATATATGAAAACAACTCGCTGTAATTGTCATGAGGCGATTCGCTAATACCTCAGTGACTACCTTGTGTGTCAGGGTTAGTAGGGTTATCGGTCTATAATTACGAATATCCGATGGATTTCCTTTCTTGTAAAGTAGCGTGACTATTCCGGTTGCCGGGTCCTGCCCCAATCCTTCTGCCTGCCACGCCTGCTCGAGAAAAGCCAGATATTCCTCCCCTAGGATTGGCCAATACTCCATCCAGAACTCCCTGGTGAGTCCATCTTTCCCTGGAGTTTTATTTGGAGCCATAGATTTTAATGCTTCCCATAGCTCCTCCTGCGTCAATGGAGCGTCCAGACTTGCTGCCTGATGCCGGGAGACTGTGGGCTGCAGGTAGGTCAGGAACTTGGATCGTGCCTCCTTCACCTTTTGCCTTGGGTACTCAGCCTCCCATGTTGCATATAGGTTGCTATAGAAATCAAAGGCCACTTGAAGCATCTCATCCTTGTCAGTAGTTAGTCCTGTCGGTCCCTGTAACTGACCGATCAGGTTGTTTCTTCCCCGAGATTTAATTTTTTGAAAAAAGAATTTGGTCATTCGTTCCCCTTCCTCCCATTCTCTAACCCTGACCCTCATTTGCAGACCCTGCGACCTCCAACGCTGCCATTCTGCCAACTCCTCTCTCGCTACCTCAAGTGCCCTTTCATAAATGCCGCGTCCTGGGAAGTTGATGATGTTGCGCTCTGCTAGCCTCATCGCTTGCTGTAACTCCTGGTCCCTTTCCCTCCTTCTGGCTGCCAATCGTCTAGCCACTCCCGCCGAAGCTTTGGATAGTGCTAGAAGCAAGTCCCCTCATTTCCGTCGGGCGCAAAAGCGAATTATTTAGTTTGTAAAAACCCCTACCCCTTTTGACCTCTTTATCTGTTACGAGATGGAGAAAAATAGGCTTATGATCCAATCCTGTCCCATATGGCGTAACTGGTCGTCGAGCGCACATTCGTGCGCCTCGCGGATCCGGTCCGGCAGTCTGCCGCACGTGCGGAACCGCCCGGACGGCGTCCGGTTGCAAGTATGCTCCAAACTAATTGGTCAGCAGGCCAATCAGATATCCCAAATTCCACGGAAAAAAATCAAAACAATTCGTCAGGTCAAAATTAGGAGCCTCCATTGGCTCATATCTTACATCGCACTGCCAGTCAACCAATGGCTGCATATCAGGAGGAGGAGGTCTGACCCCGACACGCCAGATTTATGTGTGGTCTGCTCGGTTAACAAACCAGAAGATACGATGCACTGCTTAATCTGATGCAGAGAGGCAACTGAATACTGGGATAGAGCTTCCGACCTTTTGCAATCCCTTCCTTGCTTCTTCCTCAAACACCCTGTCCAAGAAAACTTGGGAGTGGTCTCGAACGGGGCGGGGCAGGCGAAACCCATTCAGGAGTGGTGTTTGCCGCACTACCGTCTCGAACAGACCACTCCCAAATGCAAGCCCCGTCTTTTGCATACAAGTTGAGCTCCTTGATTTGTCTTGTTGTCAATACTGGACAAACTATCTTGTAGGCCACAATCTCCTCACCAGCTTTTGGGGTGGATCGACGGAGGTCTCCCGAGACTGCCCTCTTGCAGGCGGGAGATTTCGGGAGCATTCGCGAGTGCTCTCGAGCTGTGAACCTGAAAGCTCCTGAATCCGGTCTGACAAGTTTAATGCGGGAGCTGGTTTGGTGAAGTTGAACTCTCAGGATTCAACGATTTCGGGAGTGGTTTGGTGAGGCCCATTGATTGGAGGCTTCCACTCCCTTAACAAAAAGAAAGAAAGAAACCTTCTGGTTCTGTGTGGCCTATCCTCAGAGGTGAGGGTCTGTTGTGTTGTCAATCAGCAAGCCGTCACAGTTGCGAAATGATGCACTCAACATGCAGTTGGAAGCCATGTTGTTCAGCCGTTTGGTGTTTCTCTTGTGCTGTTCTCTTGACTGCAGGTGCCGAGGTTCTCTGAACTGATGTCGAGGGACTGGCTATGCTGGCAATGGTCTCCGATGTAGAAAGACAGGCACATGGCACTGCTGGATCTGTCACATGGTCGGCTTCTAGCTCTTCTTCAATGGATTGCTCCAGATTTTCAAGCCTTCATTTCGAAGTGAATGATGACGAGTTGGGAAAGCAGAGAGTGGACGCTTGGCTTTCCCTCTGAAGTTGGAGTTGTCATCATCATAGGTAATGATGATGCGTGCGAGTACGATGTACCCTGCAGAGTTCCTTAACAAAGATTGCATTGCTTGGCCCCAGGTGAGGGTGGTAGTGTGAAGTTTGTGACCTAGGGGGCAGGGGCAGGGTGTGGGGTCTGTGGCAAGTGTGTGGAGGGAGGGTGGTGTTGCATGCGGTCCTTCTTGTGGACTGTCAGTCAAGATAACTGCATAGTTAGTGTGTAAAAAACATATCATGTGACGACCCGCATCCTGTGGATGTTCTGATTTTTCATGTAGATGGATGGATGGATGGATGGATGGATGGATGGAAGGGCTCATGTGAACAGTCGATGAACAAGAGCTCATTGTACATTTCTCATCAGAAATCCCTTGCGACTGTAAGCAGAGTGGAAGCCTGCAGACAGTCATGGGGGCTTGAATTGTTGTTGAGACTATAAGAAGAGTGGAAGCCCGCGGACAGTCAGACAGGGATGCTGTGTATGTTGAGAAGCAAATGAATTTGAAGCGCTCATGCAAAATGGAGGTCGGTCAGTGACATCCGGGAAATGGTCCTCTTCTCCATTACTGCTTGACATTGGTATCAGGTGAATATCAGAGCGGGGCTGAGATAATTCTTTCTTGGTATTGAATGACTACGTTGACTGAATGACCAAGTGACTGTAATCAACTTTTTATGGGAGAGGGGTGTTGCATCAGACACATGACAGATGATGGCATGTGTTGTGGCTGGAATCGACAATTCATTGATTCAACTTCGTTGAATTAGAAACTGCTTTAGAACGACTTAGAACTGTTGGTGAACGCGCTTTCGAAAGGCATTCAGAAGTAAATGGGAAAGGGAAAGGAACAGGCTCCAGCTGTGTCATGACGCTGCTCAGAAATGTTGTAACTGAAATTTCAATGAACATAAATAGGGACCATCATTCTAGTATGCTGTGCCACTTCTCTAAACGGGGGGAAAGCTGTGTTTACAGGTTCCGCTAGCCTGCGGGTAGAGCTTCAAGTCAAAAAAGGCGGGGATGTTTGGGTGTGGTGTGGGTGGCTTTGTGCAGGGAAGGGAGAGGTGGGATAAGATGGGGACGGGAAGGAAGAGGAGCAAACCGCCTTGTGGCCTTGGGGCACTGCGGGAGGGGCGGTAAACCGTTCGCAATATCGATTCGGTCAAGGATTTGACTGATTCTCTTGATTTTTATTTGCACAGTTTCTTTAAGTGCTTATGGGCTCAATAAAACCGATGTCATCTGTAGTGAGCAATCACATGGTGTAATCCCTCTGAACTTCTCTTTTCCTTTTCGGTGTGGGTTCAAAAGACAGTCAAGCCCACTGTACTTGTTGTCACTGTCTATAATGTGTTTGTTAACGATAAGAGAAGAAATCTAAGAGGCAGACCCCAAACTCACTTGAGAGGCATGAGGGTGTTGCTACTGAATGTAGGGACTACTAGGGAGTGATTTATCGATATTCAGAGTTCACTGCAGGTGACTGCGCTTACACTGATTTGATTTGCTGCTTTGATTGATTGATGGATTTGTCGACTGATTGATTGGTTGGTTGGTCGGTCGGTCGGTCGGTCAGGAATTGAACATCATCCACTTTCCTACGTAATCAGGGGACAAATTTCTGAATCCATGATATCGTGTGATCACTCTGGCAGATTTGACAAGGGCTAATGCGAATAAGCCAATTGAAATATCCATGGAAATTTGCATTGCAGTTGTCATGCACCCAAGCACTATACCTATCGGCACTCCCGCATACACTTTAGAGTGGATGGGCGGTGGGGCCAGGTCGTGTGGATCTTGCACGGCAAAAAGAAAATGGAACATTCACTGGCAGCCTTTCAATGGTACCCATGGACGCACCCAGTGCTCTTTCACCTTGTTGCCAGTGGTCATGTGAATTGCACGGACCAACCGCTGTGGATATGTCATAAGGCTGTCACCCTTAAAAGAAAAAGAATGCACGTTCCATCTGAAGCGGGAAGGAACCGTGCGTAAGAATGCAGAGTGTTTGTGCGTTGTTTGTCAGACGATCTCTTGGGTCCAACAGTCGTCAGATTGCAAGAACCGAAATCGGATGGGACGGCGAACTGACAAAAGACAGAAGGGGAACTGACAAAAGTCTCTGTGGTTTCTGAACTGAACAAGCAAAAAAGTGGCAGCGAAGATGAGTGAGAAAGCAACAATGAAAGGACAAGGCCAGTTATTGTCGTTGGGGCTGGGCAGGCTGCGTTGCTGTTTTCTGATTCGACACAATTTCTTTGTATGCTTATAGTTGGTTGCTAGGGGAGCTCAGAGCATACACGTGGGCTTTACTCGATGTTTCTGACTGACGGTAAGCACGTCCAGATTTAGTTGCAAAAGGCGTGGTGTAAGTATGCCCTTAGATTTCTGAGGGAGCATGTGCACACTAGGCCCAGTGGCTGGGCGGAACGCTTATGAGTTCTCTGACTTCAGCAGCAGTTCTTTTGCTGCCTATTTTCTCAAAGAGGGTGTAGCCTGTAACATCATTGTATTCAAATTCATGATCTCTCAATCAGCAGTTTTATTCACATGGGCTCCTTTTTGGCTATCAAATGCCAGACCAGTGTTATTTATGTACAAGAGTGTAATCGCACTGCCAGATCCAGTCATGCAAGTCGGATTGCGTGGTGTCAATTTTTCTCAATGCCAGATCAGTGTTCTTTATGTACAAGAGTGTAATCACACTGCCGTATCCAGTCATGCAAGTCGGATTGCGTGGTGTCAATTTTTCTCTCTCCCCCTTCTCCTGCAGCCTCCCCTCCTGAGTATTGAGGTTCTTTGACTACACTTCGCATGATATCTCAAGTGGGCATATGGGGGCTGTGTGAACATTAATAATAAACTTCAATAAAGTAAATTTTTATTACTAAAAATCTGTGTACGGATCCGGGCCGCCCGGCCGACCGGCGCCTGCCCGGGGGAGGTCCCGGGCAGCCTGGCCGGGCGGGCGGTCCGGTTGGGGGCCGGGCCCCCCCAGCACATCTTAACGGCGGGGGGTTTTCGACCCCGAATCAGCTCCATTTCTTGTTGCCAGGGCCTACCAGGTCCAACCACGCCAAGAAAACGGCGCATCGGGCCCGTGAGGCCTGCTTTTTTTTTTTGAATTTTTGATGGCCCTCCGGCCGTCGATCATCCATGATCGACGGCCAGATGGCCGTTTGTTTTTGGAAGGAAAAGCAATGCCCCGTTTGAACATGCGATTGCCTGGGGCGGTCTGCATCGGCTTTCGAAACGGGGCCCCTCCTCCAGCCGCCTGCCTTCGTCATTGCGTCCGTTCTTCGTTGAAGTAGCTGCGAGTCGTCGCCATCGCCTGGGACAGCCGTCGCCCGTAGCCCGTCGCTGTGACCCGTCGCCCCCCGTCGTCCATCGTCGTGCTGCTCCCTGCCAGCATCCTCTGCCGCCCGTCGACGAAGACTGCCGGTCTGATCTTCTTTTCTTCTTCTTCTTCTTCTTCTTTTTCTTCCCTCCTCCTCCTCCTCCTCTTATTCTTCTGCTTCTTCTTCTCTCCTCCTCCTCCTCCCCCTCTCATCTTCTTCTTCATCTTCATCTTCTTCTTCCTCTTCTCCCTCTTCTTCTTCTTCTTCTTCTTCTTCTTCTTCCTCTTATACCTTCGCCACCTTTTTTTTTTTTTTTTTTTTCATTCGTTCATTATAGGTCGCGAGATAAACGGCAGGTGAAAGAAAAATAAAAAACCTGATCCGCTCGTCATCTTCTTCTTCTTCTTCTTCTTCTTCTTCTTCTTCTTCTTCTTCTTCTCTCCTCCTCCGCCTCCCCCTCGTCTTCTTCTCCTTTCTCTTCTCTCCTCCTCCTCCTCTTCCGTCCACACTCTTCTTCTGCACCCTCTTCGACCGCCATACCCTAACGGCATACCGCGCTGCCATTTCCCTCCACCGCCGCCGTAACCCTAGCCTCCATTCTTCTTCTTCTTCTTTTCTCCTCCTCCTCCCCCTCGTCGTCTTCTCCTTCCTATTCTCCCCTCGTCCTCCTCTTCGGCCCATCTTCTTCTTCTTCTTCTTCTTCTTTTCTCCTCCTCCTCTCCCTCGTCTTCTTCTCCTTCCTATTCTCCCTTCGTCCTCCTCTTCGGCCCATCTTCTTCTTCTTCTTCTTCTTCTTCTTCTTCTTCTTCTTTTCTCCTCCTCCTCCCCCTCTTCTTCTTCTCCTTCCTCTTCCCCCCTCGTCCTCCTCTTCCGCCCATCTTCTTCTTCTTCTTCTTCTTCTTCTTCTTCTTCTTCTTCTTCTTCTTCTTCTTCTTCTTCTTCTTCTAACACGGAGACACCGCAGAGCCCCCAACCTAGTATATACTCGGTATCACAAGTGCAGCAAAACAGCAGGCAACATACATGCAGAGTCCTCAACACCCATAAAAAAAACCCCCCCCCCCCCCCCCCCCCCCCAAACCAGAATTTTATTGCAGATTCGGGGTCCTCTCGCAGAGCACAGTACGACCCCGCCCTCAAAAAAAATAAAATAAAAAATTATGGGCTGCTTTTTGGCCCGCCCGGTTTGCCCGGGCCCTGCCCGCGTCCGTACTCAGCTAAAAATAGTAAATAAAACTATTCGATTAATTGATGCACCTGTGGGCTGGGCAATCACATGCACATCTAACTGTTGATGAAATTATCATCCAGTAGAATTCTCCATCGTTTTGATCATGGGCTGGGCAATGATATCTATTTAGACATAATATTTATGTAATAGTTATACTGATAATTAATAATATATTAATAGTAACAACAATCATATGTTCGGTGAGCCAAGAGAAGGTTAGCATCTCGGAAGTAGTCTGTGGAGTCTGGACTGTATGAGCACGTGCAGTTTAGGCTGTTATGATAGGCAGAAGGGTGATGGTTGCACACTGTGCGACGCTGTCTTGAAAGATGTATTCTCTGCGATAGTAAAGCCTAATACGTCTTTCTACTTTGTGACGTGTATGAGTCGGTGAAACTCGGACGAAAACCAGAGTGTCACAACCCCTCGTTTGTTGTCCTCTTCTCCTTCTCTGCCTATGGTTTACCGGGCAGGGAGGCTTTACCATTGCTGTCCTACAAGTAGCAATGGGGGACCGTCAACTTGAACTACGCAATGCTCGAGCAGGTGAGTGGTTTAATCCTCCATCCCACATCTCTTCCTGCATTTTGCACGGCCCTGGCCATTACATGGCCATTGTACATGCCTCTGACCACTGGGAGCTGTGGGACAACGGGACCATGGTCCATGCCATGATTGATGTCGCTCATTTCTTACAAAATGATGCTGTTTTTCTTGCCACACCAAACCGTCCGCAATCTCTTTTATGTGGAAGATCATTCTCTGGCCCCGTGCTGCAGCAAGACAATGTACCAACACTCTGCGACCTTCTCACACTCGGCTGTAGCCGCCATTGTCTCGGCCTTGGCGGGATCCTGGATTAGGCGCTAGCTTCTTATAGGCAGCAATCCATAAATTTATGTCTTTCATGAGACTGCTGAATATTCCACTGGCCCGAAATTCGTCATAGCTAGCGCTCCTTAGGTTATGAATATCGGTGCATGTCAAAGCACAGGCCTCAGAAGTCTGGCTAGCGCCCTGCCTAGTCCCATTCGTCAAGCGTACAACACACGAAGAAGTGTCCTTAACTCTCAAGTATGCGACATGCTTGGTTTCACGGTGTCTTGGAGTGGTCATTTTATTATTAATGATTGTAACAGCTTTTATTGGGTATGTGTTGCCATGGGGACAAGTGAGTTTTTGGGGACAAGTTTAGCTAGTGCAATACCTGTTGTAGGAGACACCATAGTAACTTGGTTATGGGGAGGCTTCTCAGTGGATAACGCAACCTTAGTGTGACCCGTTGACCTATAAACACCGTAGGACGTGAAATGGTCGTTGCCCACGAAATGGACAACACAATCACTACAATGACATGGTTTCTGCATCCATGTGTGCAGAGGACTGTCCCACCGTTCCTGACTGCAGGCACCCTCCGCATCCAGACACTATATGTCCATTTTGCGGCCATGGGCGCTGTACTGAATGCGTGCTCTTTTGTGGTGACCGTTCTTCCTTCATTTTGGCCTGCTATCGACATGCCATTTGTTAGGGGTGTATGGTGGGCATGCTCAATGCCACCCGTCGTGGCAATTGTTGCAGTGAGAATGCTCAGCTAGGTCTTCCATGCGGTCATCCACCTCATCCTTAAAATGTATGTCCTCTCTGTCGTCAAGGACAGAGTCGATCCTCTTTTGCCTTCATCTTCACTCCACAGTTCATACTTTCCCTTTATCGTTCTTTGTTTGTCTGCTCTCCATCTCTCCTCCCTGTGTTTATCCCCTCCCCCTTCACTCTGCCTCTTTCTCACAGTGTACAAGTGGGCTGTTATGGCACACGGGGATGGG